TTCACAAAATCTTCAAATTTCACATATTGATTGGTCATAACTAGTAGATGACCCCTATTGATTTTAGGGTCACCAGGTCAAAGGTCAAGGTCACAGGATCTTTGAATGGTGTTATTATTTCAGCTCATCTTAAAAGATAATAATCACAAAGTCTTAAGATTACACATATTGATTGGTCATAACCAACAGATGATATGTATTGCTGTTGGGGTCACTAGATCAAAGGTCAAGGTCACAGGTGCCTTAAATGTCTGAATGGTTTCCATTTATTATCTAAAAAACTATCACAAAGTCTTCATATTTCACATACTGATTAGTCATTACTAGAAAGTGATTCCAATTGATTTTGGGGTCACTAGGTCAAAGGTCAAGGTCACAGGGTTCTAAAATGTTAGTATGGTTTCTGCTAATTATCTTGAAAGCTATTTATCACAAAGTCTTCTTGCTTCTTATATTGATTGGTCATAACTATTAGATGACCCCTATTGATTTTGGGTCGCAAGTTCAAAGGTCTACGTAACAGAGGCCTTAAATGTCTCATTATCTTGTGTGTGTTGTGTCTGTGTGTTTGAAAATCTTCTTGTGAAACTTGGCGGGATTGATCAAAGAATTTCATTCCATGCAGAAATCTAGTTGCCATGGCAACCAAAAGGAATTAATTATAAGTATAAATTTAAAAAATCTTCTTGGAAAGACCCACAAGGCCTAGAGCAAAGATATTTTGCATAAGGCTTTGTCTGGTAGACCTCTACCAAGATTGTTCAAATTATAGCCCAGGGGTCAAAATTGGCCCCACCCCGGGGGTCATTGATTTTCACTATATGTACTAGTTAAAACTGAAAATACCTTCTTATCTGAAGACACAAAACTTAGAGCTTTGATATTTGGTATATGATATCATCTATAGGTACTCTACCAAAGTTGTTCAAATTTTACCTCTGGCGTCAAAATTAGCCCCGCCCCAGGGGTCATAATTTTTCCTTATATGTATATGTAAAAACTTAAAATATCATCTTCTCTGAATTGAGAAAGGCTAGAGGTTAGATATTTTGCATGAAAGATTTTGTAGTGAGCCTCTACCAAGATTGTTCAAATTATAGCCCTGGGGTCAAAATTGGCCCTACCCCAGGGGTCATTGATTTTCACTATGTACATATATTAAAAAAATTAAAAAAACTCATGTCTGAAGGTAGAAGGCTTAGAGCTTTGATATTTGGTATATGTTATTATCTATAGGTACTCTACCAAAGTTGTTCAAATTTTTGCCTCTTAGTGTCAAAATTAGCCCTGCCCCGGGGTCATAGGTTTTCCTTTCATGTAAATAGTAAAAACTTTAAAAAATCATCTTCTCTAATTGACAAAGGCTAGAGGTTAGATATTTTGCATGAAACATTGTGTAGTGAACCTCTAGCAAGATTGTTCAAATTATAGCCCTGGGGTCAAAATTGGCCCAGCCCCAGCCCGGGTGTCATTGATTTTCAGTCACTATGTCATAAAGTAAAAAATTAAAAATCTTCTTGTCTTCTATACTAATCTGATAATAACAATTAGATAGGTCAGTGATCTATGCATTATGGCAATCTTCAATTGTATAGAAATAAAAAATTGTGTTCCTACATTACTATTTAGTGTTGCGGGGGCGTCTGTGGCCGAGTGGTTAAGGTTGTTTACTTCAAACCATTTGCCCCTCACTGCTGTGGGTTCAAATCCCAACTGGGACATTGAATTCTTTCAAGTGAGGAAGCTATCCAGCTAGCTTACGGAACATCGGTGGTTCTACTCAGGTACCCGTTCGTGCCTAAAATAATGCATGGAAGGGCACCTGAGGTCTTCCTCCACCAGTAAAGCTGGAACATCACCATATGACCTAAACTGTGTCGGTGTGACGTAAAACCCAATAAAACAAACAGTGTTGTATTAATGCAGTGGCATAGCATTTTTGACATATGCAATCTTGTTTTATCTATTTTTGTATTCACATGTATTAAAATGAATGATAAGAGATTGCAAAAATAAAATATTTGTATTGCAATTTCAAATGCATTCCCATTTCTTTCCTTAGACTATTCTGCCAATAACATGAACAAACATGTAAAAAAAACTTCAAATCCGAAATTTTCTTTTGGTCCGGACGAGTTTGGATTAGACATGTTGCACTGTAGATACCCCTATTTGATTTTGGGATCTATTGGTCAATGGTCAATGTCAGAGGGTCCTTAAATGTTAGAATGGTTTCTGCTCATTATCTTGAAAACTGTTTATCACAAAGTCTTCCTGTATCACATACTGATTGGTCATAACTAGTAGATGACCCCTATTGATTTTGGGGTCACTAGTTCAAAGGTAAAGGTCACAGGGGCCTTAAATGTCAGAATGGTTTCTGTTGATAATCTTGAAAACTATTTATCACTAAGTCTTTATATTTTACATATCCATTGGTTATAACTGGTAGATCACCCCTATTAATTTTAGGGTCTTTAGGTCAAAGGTCAACATCACAAGGACCTTAAATCTTTCTGTCCTTTGGTAGACACATGGTTTCTGCTGATTATTGTCCCCCGCCTTTTCGAAGAAAAAAGGGGGATATAGTAATAGGCTCCGTCTGTCTGTCCGTCCGTCCGTCACACTTTCGTGTCTGGTCCATAACTTTGTCATTTATTGAAGGAATCTGAAATAACTTGGCACAAATGTTTGTTATAATAAGACGATGTGTCATGCGCAAAAACCAGACCCCTACCTCCAGGGTCAAGGTTGAACTTGCTCATTCAAGGTCAACATTGTCTATTTGAGGGTATATGTCGTGTCCGGTCCATAACTTTTTTATCTTTGAAGGGATTTTGTAAATACTTGCCACAATTGCTCACAATAATGGGAAGATGTGTCATGAGTAACAACCGGTCACCTACCTCCAAGGTCAAGGTCACAATTGGAGGTCAAAGATTAACATAGCCTGTTACAGGGTATATTTCGTGTCCGGTCCATAACTTTGTCATTTATTGAAGGAATCTGAAATAACTTGGCACAAATGTTTGTTATAATAAGACGATGTGTCATGCGCAACAACCAGACCCCTACCTCCAGGTGAACTTTGTCATTTATTGAAGGAATTTGAAATAACTTGGCACAAATGTTTGTTATAATAAGACGATGTGTCATGCGCAACAACCAGACCCCTACCTCCAGGGTCAAGGTCGCACTTGCTCATTCAAGGTCAACATTGTCTATTTGAGGGTATATCTCGTGTCCGGTCTATAACTTTCTTATCTTTGAAGGGATTTTGTAAATACTTGCCACAATTGTTCACAACAAGGTGATGATGTGTCATGCGCAACAATCGGTCACCAACCTACAAGGTCAAGGTCACACTTGGAGGTCTAAGATTAACATAGTCTGTTATAGGGTTTTTTTTTTGTCTGGTCCATAACTTTTTTATATATCAACGGATTTTGAAAATACTTGGCACAAATATTCACTATAATAAGACAATGTGTCATGCACAACACCTGCATCCCTACCTCCAAGGTCAAGGTGACATTTAGAGGTCAAAAATTAACATAGTCTTTAAAAGGGTATATATTGTGTCCAATGTAGAACTTCTTCATTGTTCAAGGGATTTTGAAATAACTTGGCACAAATAGTCACAATAATAAGACGCTATGTCAAGTACAACACCTGCACCCCTACCTCCAAGGTCAAGGTCACACTTAGAGGTAAAAAGGTAACAGAGTCTGTTATATGGTATATTTTGTGTCCTGTCCATAACTTCTTCATAGATCAAGGGATTTTGAAAATACTTGGCACAAATAGTCACAATGATAAGATGATATGTCATGCACAACACCTGCACCCCTACCTCCAAGGTCAAGGTCACACTTAGAGGTCAAAGCTTAACATGATAGATTTTTAAATTCAGTGTTTCATTTTATTTCTTTAATAAATTTATTGTTGCATTTGCAGATCTAGCATTGATCATAATTTTGGACTGAAAATCCTTTGATCCCTGCCTCAATTTTTTGAAATAGCACAATTTTTTAGCTCGACTATTCGATAAGAATAAGTAGAGCTATTGCAGTCACCCGAGCGTCGGCGTCGGCGTCGGCGTAACCACTTATGTTAAAGTTTTTGTAATAGTTCAAATATTTTCAAAGTCCATTGACATATGGCTTTGAAACTTTGCACACTTGTTCACCATCATGACCCCAACCTGTAGACAGGAGGAGGTAACTCTATCAAGTATTTTGACAGAATTATGCCCCTTTTTCGACTTAGAATTTACGTTAAAGTTTTTGTAATAGTTCAAATATTTTCAAAGTCCATTGACATATGGCTTTGAAACTTTGCACACTTGTTCACCATCATGACCCCAACCTGTAAACAGGAGGAGGTAACTGTATCAGGCATTTTTTTTACTATCAAGCACTAAGAATAGTCGAGCATGCTGTCCTACCGACAGCTCTTGTTGCTTCATATGAAACTTCCCCGAGGCGGGGGACGTTGGTAACTCTGTTACAATTTCTTGTCTTAAAAAGTAATTCTCACAAAGTGTTCATATTTTACATACTGATTGGTCGTAACTAGTAGATGATCCCTATTTGATTTTGGGGATCTATTGGTCAAAGGTTAAGGTCAGAGGGGCCCTAAATGTCAGAATGGTTTCTGCTCATTATCTTGAAAATTATTTCCCACAAAGTCTTTATATTTCACATACTGATTGGTCGTAACTAGTAGATGACCCCTATTGATTTTGAGGTCACAAGGTCAAAGGTCAAGGTCACAGGGGCATTTAATGGCAGAATGGTTTACGCTCATTATACCAATGATAGCTTTCATTTAGTTTCAGGTCATATGTTGCGCATTATTTTTCTTTTTCCATAAATGAACCCCTCCATGTACTAATTTAAGGCAAGTTTCTACTATCAAAATTTCCAATAATATGAGTCAAGGGCTAGAAAAGGGGGCATATGTTTCATTTGATATTTCATTTTAATGTCATTGTCTAGGGATGTTTATGACACAGACGAGGAGCAATCGGCTGTATATCTATTGGAAAAGTATCTTACAAAAGACATAACATATATGGTAAGTTAAATTAAATATTGTGAGCCTGTCTTTGAAATTCTAGGTAAAGAACATTATATGATAGGATTTGCAAGATATTGATTTTCTTGAACATTGTAAATTTTTGAGTAATTGTGGTTGATCACATACAGGTGTCGCTTTTATGACTCTGTAAAATGGTATTGCACGCCGTTCTCAGTTAGAATTTACACCCTTAGTTTTTAGCTCGACTTTTTTTTTTAAAAAATAAAGTAGAGGTATTGCTATAGTCGTGGCGACGTTGCCGTTGCCATCCGCAAACTTGTACCTGGATCATAACTTTTTTATTTCTTGGTGTATTGTCTTCATACTTGGCCACAACAACCCTTGGGACAAGACCTTTCAGTAGACAACACTAACCTTGACCTTCATCTATAAATGACCTTGACCTTCAAGGTTAAAAGTCCAAATTTTGCTTGTTCATGCTGTTATTGGCTGTAACTTTGTTATTTTTGAATGGATTGTCTTCAAACTTGAACATAATAATCTTCAAGGATAACCCTTAAAAATAATTAGACAGACCTTGACGTTCACTCATTAATGACCTTGACTTTGAAGTTCAGATTATTGAAATTTTCATTGTTTTGGCTGTAACTGGCTGTAACTTTGCTATTATTGAAGGGATCAACTTCATATTATAACAGAACATACTTAAGGACAAGACCTTGTTGTTTATCAAACACTCTTAAATGACCTTGACCTTGGAAGGTTAAATTACTGAATTTTCTCAGATTTGTGCATTAAATGACCATATATATTAATTGGTGTGTGTGTGTGTGTATATATATATATATATATATCATCATCATCATCAACAACAACAACAACAACAACACGTGTCACCACTACCTGTCACCACCACCACGTGTCACCACCACAATGTGTCACCACCACATGTCCCCACCAAGTGACACCACGTGCCATCACATGTCGACACCACGTGTTACCACGTGACACCACTACGTGTCACCATCACGTGACACCATTTGTCACCACCACGTGCCATCACATGTTGTCACCACCACGTGACACCAGATGTCACCACCAGGTGACATCATGTGTCGACACCACATGTCACCACCACGTGACACCACATGTCATCACCACGTGATACCACGTGTCACCACCACATGACACCATGTGTCACCACCACGTGACACCACATGCCATCACATGTCGACACCATGTGTCCACTTGTCACCACCTTGTGCCAATACATGTGACCACCACGTGACACCACCACGTAACCCCATGTGTCACAACCACTTGTCACCACCATGTGTCATCACATGTGACCACCACGTGACACCACCACGTAACCCCATGTGTCACAACCACGTGACACCACCACGTGTCACCAACACCACCTGTCACCAACACCAAGTGTCACCAACACCAGGTGTCATCACCACCTCCATGTGTCACCACCACATGTCATCGCCACGTGTCACCACCACGTGACACAACGTATATCTATTTATAGAATTTTCTATTTATAGAATTGCGTGTTTCTATTGATAGAATTGCGTGTTTCTATTTATAGAATTTTCTATTTTTAGAATTGCTTGTTTCTATTTATATATATATATATAAATTAGTATATTTAGAGATTTTGTTCAAACATTTCTTTGTTATACCCCCACAAACGAAGTTTAGGGGGGTATATAGGAGTCAGCTTGTCGGTCGGTTGGTCCACATCATGGACCACATCATGATTTCGGGACGATAACTAGAGTTTGGAATGAGGTATTGTAATCAAACTTGGTATATAGCAACCTTATATGGAAACTCCGGTTGGTATTGCATTTGGACCCCCTGGGGTCAAGGTCAAGGTCACCGTTACTAAAAATAGAAAAATGGTTTCCGGACAATAACTAGAGTTAGGAATGAGATATTGTTATCAAACTTGGCAATAGCAAGCTTATATTAAGACCTGGGTTGGTATTGCATTTGGGCCCTCTGGGGTCAAGGTCAAGGTCACTGTTACAAAAAATAGAAAAATGGTTTCCTGACAATAACTTGACTTAGGAATGACTTACTGTAATCAAACTTGGTGTATAGCAAGCTTATATGAAGACCTGGGTTGGTATTGCATTTGGACCCCCTGGGGTCAAGGTCAAGGTCACTGTTAGGAAAATAGACAAATGGTTTCCTGACAATAACTAGAGCTAGGAATGAGATATTGTAATCTAATTTGGTGTAAAGGAAGCTTATATGAAGATCTGGGTTGGTATTGCATTTGGACCCCCTGGGGTCAAGGTCACCGTTACTAAAAATAGAAAAATGGTTTCCGGACAATAACAAGAGTTAGGAATGAGATATTGTTATCAAACTTGGCGTATAGCAAGCTTATATGAAGACCTGGGTTGGTATTGCATTTGGGCCCTCTGGGGTCAAGGTCACTGTTACTAAAAATAGAAAAATGGTTTCCGGACAATAACTTGACTTAGGAATGACATACTGTAATCAAACTTGGTGTATAGCAAGCTTATATGAAGACCTGGGTTGGTATTGCATTTGGGCCCCCTGGGGTCAAGGTCAAGGTCACCGTTAGGAAAAATAGACAAATGGTTTCCTGACAATAACTAGAGCTAGGAATGAGATATTGTAATCTAATTTGGTGTAAAGGAAGCTTATATGAAGATCTGGGTTGGTATTGCATTTGGACCCCCTGGGGTCAAGGTCAAGGTCACTGTTACCAAAAATAGAAAAATGGTTTCCGGACAATAATAGACTTAGGAATGACATACTGTAATCAAACTTGGTGTATAGCAAGCTTATATGAAGACCTGGGTTGGTATTGCATTTGGACCCCCTGGGGTTAAGGTCAAGGTCACCGTTAGGAAAAATAGACAAATGGTTTCCGGACAATAACTAGAGTTAGGAATGAGATATTGTAATCTAATTTGGTTTAAGGGAAGCTTATATGAAGACCTGGGTTGGTATTGTATTTGGACCCCCTAGGGTCAAGGTCACCGTTACAGTGTTACTAAAAATAGAAAAATGGTTTCCGGACAATAACAAGAGTTAGGAATGAGATATTGTTATCAAACTTGGCGTATAGCAAGCCTATATGAAGACTTTGGTTGGTATTGCATTTGGGCCCCCTGGGGTGAAAGTCAAGGTCACCGTTACGAAAAATGGTTTTCGGACAATAACTAGAGTTAGGAATGAGATATTGTAATCTTATTTGGTGTATAGGAAGCTTATATGAAGACCTGGGTTGGTATTGCATTTGGACCCCCTAGGGTCAAGGTCACTGTTACAGTGTTACTAAAAATAGAAAAAATGGTTTCCTGACAATAACTAGAGTTAGGAATGAGATATTGTAATCAAACTTGGTGTATAGCAAGCTTATTTCGAGACCCCAGTTGCGATTACAATTAATTGAAATATTTCTTTGTACACAGTTGATAGTTTGTGTTCAAATTTTTCTTCAGACTACTATTTTTTTCAAAAAGTCAAAGTTGTTGGTGGGGGTATTGATCACCTTCAGTGATAGGTCTAGTTTGCTTTTAGAGAAAGTAAAAAGTCCAGCGTTGCCCCCGCCCGGCGGTGGCTCTTGTTACTTGTCGCCATCCTCTATCCTCATTATTGCAGGTTATTTGCCTGTAAGTCTATGCTGGTTTAAGAGGGTAGATGTTACCTTAAATAACACACAATAATTTGTCATTTGATCATGAATAATTGTTTAATAATATTCACCCAAAGTTACGAAAATGACGTTCGTGATTGTCGCCGTCAAAGTTATACAAAGTTATCGTGTATTTAGATGCTTTAATTGTATTGTTTTAATTTTGTTTGATGCCATATTATTATTCACGATTATGAATTTATAAATTAGATCTCATAGATAACTCACCGGTTTGTCACCGGATATTATGAAATGTTCGTTATCATTTTAACCATGTACGAGGGTTGTCCAAAAACTTCGTGCACTGCAGTTATTGTCGTGAGATTTATTGATAAAAACAAATGAATTATATATCACTTGAAGGGGAAATCTGTCTCAAATAAGAAAACAAAAGAAAAAGCCGGCTAACCGGCGTGTTGTGTAAAAGAATGGTCATTAAGTTACCTTAGTAACGTTATACCGGCGCACGGCAAAAAATTGGGTTAGTTCATTACTGTAATTGTATTAATTGTTTGTTGCTTGTAAAGTGGCATTTGCTTTTTAGCTCGACTATTCGATAAGAATAAGTAGAGCTATTGTAGTCACCCGAGCGTCGGCGTCAGCGTCAGTGTCGGCGTCTGCGTCAGCGTAACCACTTATGTTAAAGTTTTTGTAATAGTTCAAATATTTTCAAAGTCCATTGACATATGGCTTTGAAACTTTGCACACTTGTTCACCATCATGACCCCAACCTGTAAACAGGAGGAGGTAACTGTATCAAGCATTTTTTTTTACTATCAAGCACTAAGAATAGTCGAGCGTTGCTGTCCTACCGACAGCTCTTGTTTATGTTATAATTTGTTTTACTGTCATAAGAGGAATGATTGATGTAAAGTATTTTATAGTTTTTATTGTTCTTATGCAACGGACATATTACATATCCCACCAGTGAACGAATATATTGGACAACCCCGTCACATAGTCCGGCATTACGGACGGACGTCTGCCTGACCGGTTGTCATCATCTACCGGCTCTCGCCCTTCTACAGAGCGTTTGTGCCATTTAAAAATCAGCCTTAGTGACGCTGAACTTGTCCCACTTGCCCCTTCAAGGTGTTTGTAGGTATCTGTCGGTGTTTTACCAATACTCGCGCACAATATAATGATCGTCCGTATTTCCAGACGTTTTGCGACTGACATTTTCACGTAATCACAATATTGACAACCTCACACAAATGTTTGTTTACGACCGTTACAATAGGGCAAATGACGTCATATTTTCTAGTAACGTTAGGAACACGTACACATACTTTTCCCTGAATTTTAATGTTTATATGTAGTGTTTAAAGAATACCGTGATGCATCAAAG